ACCTGTCAATGGGCGTGACTGCTGCTAAGCCTGCTATAACTGACAGTGAAAAGCAATTTTTGGAGAGTGCATGGATGATGGAGGGTGAGGAAGAGGAGCCTAGGAGGAGGTTGGCAAGAGTGGTACTGTGGTGGCTAGGGGTGTGAGAAAAAAAGCAACAATAAAATTAGAATAACCAACATGGTGGCAGGGAATTATTGTGAGTACTTATCGGTGCACCGCCGTGCGTCGGTCTTAACCCTTTGCAAGGCCCCATGCCCTTGGCATTCTTCAGAAGTGTGAAAGCTTTTGCCGGTGAAGGTGTGTTTTACGATCGGTCCATAAAGAAGTGTTGATCGGTTCAAAATGACATAAGAACAGGTTCTTTTGAATAACCTATGGATTGGCACCATGATAACCAAAAACCATAATAATATAATATAACGCAAATAGTCATTCAGGGACCCAGGGCCTAGAGACTGCATTCTGCATAGTGGCAGAGCAGAGAGTTTTTAGTCTTCCTGCTTTCTTGAAGTTAAATTTTAACTCCTATAAGTAGACTAGCAAAGTATCATGCCAGCATCATCATATATAAGATATAAGTTTAACTGTTCAAGTCTTGAGTAAATGAGAAAATGAAAATAAACTGATTCTAAAAAATCACTGGTTTGCCAGTTGCCACTATGCCTAAGAGAACCCAATACCCATACTCATAGCTAATATTGTAATATAGATATCAACTAGACAGTTCAATAATTAACAAATAGCATTTAGCAATAATAAAACAATGAATTTCTCTTCCCCTTGATTTCATCTCGCTGGGACTCACCCTTGGCATTAAGGCCTTACCACAATCTTTCCCACCTTTCTTAGTTTTTAGTAAGTAGTATCCATGGTGCAATTAACATATCAATTTTAAATTACCTTGGTAATTTGAGTTTTGGGAACGCCGAACTTAAATTAGAGGAGTGGCGGCTCGCTGTTCGCAGCCCCCGCGCGCACGGCAGACAACCTCCCACGCTGGTAGTATCTAGCCACTAGCCTCTCCTTTGAATATCGCTTCCACGGTTCCACACGGCGGCTGGTCCGGTGGCACCGGGCTTGGTCTCCCGTTTTCCTTCCAACTAACATGAATATGTGATGTGTGGCTGATGACCATTGCAAAGGCCTGACCCTGAAATGTCTTTTTTCTCAGAGTCACCATGCCCCAAACGCTGAAAAGCCCGAATCCAATCCAATCCAAATGCCAGGGTCAGAGTCAGACAGCAGTATGGAATTCTGTATAGGTAATATATTCTCATGTCCATATATGAAAACGTATCGAAAAACCAACCCTACAGTCCCTACTCCCTACCAGCTACCACCGCGTTGGACCACCTTCCACTGCAATGAAAATAGATCAACTGGAGCTCATTAGAAACAATCGCGCTTCCGAAATCGCGCGTGGTTTGAAATCCAATCCCGTGTTGCGAACGCCTAATCAAGTTAACTAGTCGTCTATCTGTAGGGTAGTAGACAAATTATTGCAATGAATAAGTTCTAAAATAAAAAAAACACATCCAGAATAGATAAAAAATTCTCACGATTGGACGATACCAACAAAGTTTTCGATTTCACACAAAAGTATGAGATAAACTTCGACTTTAACAAGGCGTACATTCACATCCTGTTTCCACGATCATATCTGACATGGCGGCGTCACAGGCATAGTTTTTGGTCATGTCAAGTTCGATTTCACAATAATTAGACTTGATCCACATTCCATACTGAAATTTAAATGATGGAAATTTGTTTCAGATTATAAATACCAATTGATACGCGTCCAGACATACATTTTTCATGTTTTTTGCCTATTTTGTCGATGTTGTCTATATAATTAACTTCACCTCAGATTCTAAATGATTTCGTCTCCCATCGAGAGTTTTCGAACGTCTGGTGTCTTTTAGAAAACGTTCGTTGTTGAAGCGGAAATTATAGCAATATATTATCATTCAGAGCTTAGACATGTACCATAAGTTGTATTGAATAATAAAAGTTATTTTAATAAAATTTGATTTCTAATTCGAATTTTCGAATCAAAATTCTAACCAAAAAAATTTTTAATATAATTTAAATCAACAGCATGTACCATTTCATGTATACAATAATTACATTTAATTCAATAAATTTTAGTCTCGAATTATTTGTATTTTATTTTGATTTAATTCTACAGCTTCAATTGGTAAAAATGAGCATCATAGGAATGAAAGTAAAACTGTCCTTCATACATCACAAATTGAATGACATTGGATGGATGCCTAGTCGATCAAACGTAGTTCGAACGAGTTCAAAACGTGTGACGCTTCCGTCACACTTGCAGGATTGACTCCAAACATGTAATTACTATCGGTAGAAGCTTTTATTTTCTGTGCGACGAATTTGTCACACCATGTTTTTGATGTAAAAGAATGTTTTTCAATTAAAAGAAATGCAATACTTGATTTTTGGAAATACGATGCTAAAATTAATGATCCATATTAGAATTCAATAGACGTTACGATTTCTAAATTATCTTCAAAAGTTTGTTTTCGTTCGTTTGATCAGCAGTTTTTGTTAGTTTGATCAGAAGTTTTCGTTCGTTTGATTAGAAGTTTTTGTTCGTTTGATCATAAGTTTTCGTTCGTTAGATCAGAAAGAGAAAAAGGTTTCGTTCATTTGATTAGAAACAACATAATTATTCATTCTCTTGCACCAAGTATACGAGTGATTAGTTCGACTCTGTTATGAGTGATTGTTCGACTCTGGATGATCAATGCTAGTTCATTGATCATCCCGCTAGATTGAATACCTAGCGGGAATCACCCCGCTAGGTATTCAATTCAGTAGCACGATGGCCCACATGTGATTTAGTTCTGATCGTCTGAACTCTGAATTGCGTGTTAAGTGTTTCATGATGGAAAACTCTGCCTAATGATTACATAATGAAGTTTAGTTCATTGCGGTCAACTTAAGAGATAAATTTTCAACTAACTAAAACTTTATATAAGTCTAATTTCAATTGTTGAGTGAAAGGTGCAGGCATAAAACTTCCAAGTGGTTAGGTACTTTATAGAAACTGAGCAAGTTAGCGTATGTATTTTAAGCCTTTAAGAAGTTCATTTTTTGCCTCAAATAACGATGTTATGTAGAAAAAGTGGTCTTGGTGGATCGAAATAATATATGAACCTTCAAAATTAGAATTCCATCCTGTCAGACAGGGTAAATCAGGTAAAATATTAGTTTCAAACACACAAAATTTGACAAATATACGTGAGATTTGAAGCTATGATTATATATTTGAAAATACATGTTTTTTTAAATGCATATATCAAAGATGAGTTATAGAGATTAGAGAGTATGTACCTCCGACTTTAGAGAGTTCACTAGCCTAACTGAATAAGCCTGCCAGCTGCCCAGCTCCAGGCTGCCACTGCAGACCTGAGACCGCACTGCCTGATTTTAAAATGCACAGCCAAGAACTGAAAAATTCTCTTTTGCACATGATCATCATAGTTTCCTCGCGCTCAGAAGTTCACGCAAATTAAATTGTACATTTATACGTCTTACATTAGTTTCAAGCTTTTGTCTAGGTAGGCATTCCAATAAGTGAATCACGGAGAGTGTTACCCACAATTTTATCATCCGTTATCCGTTAATTTTAATAGAAGTAAGAATTTACAGACAATACTTTTGCAAGTGTGCGAATCATTCCATTTCATTATGTTCATAGAATTTAATATTTTTATTTGATTTTCCATCAAAAGTTCGAATTGTTGCAAGATTTGCTTGCTTTATTAGAAACTGGTAGATACCCATCTAGATCACAAAAAATTAATTGGAAAGTTTTTTGTTCGCGTAAAATATCTCATTCGCAAAAATTGTATCGAAATTTTATTTTTTCGTGCTCCAATTAAGACATTCGAAAAAGTAATCAAATTATTTTCGCACTTTCCAAGCGCACTTTCCTACGGTAGTTGTCGATGTCGAATCTTAGATTGATGTGCAGGATCTACCCGACCTCGGCTCGTAATTTTCGCGTTCACAACGAATCGAACTTTTCGCTTGATTAAATCCAAAAGATCTTGATATAATAATTAGTCGGGTATCAAGGAGACCAAACTGATTGACTGGAAAGAAGCTCAAGTGACACCATTGTTCAAAAAAGGTGACAAAAGCTGCCCGGGCAACTATCGCCCTGTCAGTTTGACAAGTGTCGTTTGCAAGGTAATGGAATCTAGAAAGATCGGGTTCCAAAGGCCGGATCCCTTGTGAATCAAGTCACGAAAAGTTCAAGAATCGGCAACAGGCCATGGGCCTATTTCTTCAACGCCGACACTTCAATTCTATTCTAAACTGATTTACACTAATTATTTCCTTTAGTAGTCTCAAATCTTCAAGCTCCTCGAAAGTTGACCATTGAATTAATTAGCGTCGCTTACAAAGTTAAATTTTCGCCATCATGAACTTTCGCCATTTTAATAATAAATAAGAATAATAATATAAACAGCGGTTTCAGCGTTTATTAGGCCATAGGCCAGTCGCCGATTCTTAACGTCGCAGAACATTCACAGCTTGTTGCGGTCTCGAACTCGTAACTCACTGCTACAATTCTGCTGTGCTTAACCGCCCGGCCACCTTGCCGATTCTGACCAGAAACTGGCGCACAGTTGGGATCGAACCGGCACATCTCTGCGCCTATCCTGGTACTCTGAACTGTAACCAATAGGCCACCCTGCCCCAGTTTTTCACCAGGTCAGAAATAAATCATTGTACTATCAAATTAACAGAGATAAAAAATAACTTACAAAATCTAAATTACAAATAATTGAAAATTTTCAGTAGCTATCAAAAGAAACGTCGAGAGCAAGAAATCGTTGTTCAGTGTAGAGTAGAACGGTAAACAGACATGTAATCGACAAGGCCAAGCCTAGTACGATAGAGACTATCGGCAGTAGGCTGAACACCTTCAAATGTTCGCAATGAAGGATAATGTGGAACTTATGTACGTAAATTCAACTTTATTCCAGCTCACGTGTCCACCATAAATTATTTGTACAAGTGGACTACAAAATTTGAGAAAGCACGACGAGACGCGCTTTGCAAAAAAAAAATAATAATAAACGCAATTTTAATGGAATTCGTTTCCATTTTTTTGTTCCAGAAATAGAAACAATGGCATGCTAGATGCACCAAACCAATAGTAATCAATAAACGGATGTCATTTGTGAAGCTAAACATAACATTCAGCATGGTACATAATTTTTCGTACGTTCTCTGAATCCGAATCTTATATACATCGTGATTTGCGGTCCACTCGCTTCGCAAAAAAATTAACTTTTTAAGTCAAGCATTAAAATGCAAGCAAATGCACCATGAGGCTAATGTGCACATTGGATCAAGAATTATCATAATCTAACAAAAAAAAAAAAAAAGTTGATTTATTGGAATGATAGTAGTAAAGTTTATAATTACCTCCCAAGGTAATTATTAGTAACTGGAAATAGAATTTGCACATGCGGAAAAAGAATTGAGTTCGCCTAAAAAGCTTTTACTGGCCGCGCGATCAGCTTTGACAGCCATATTCAAATTTTAATCGGTACATTGGTTCAATGTAGATATATATTCAAACCATAAACTTCGGAATTTTACACAATTTTCTACGAAAATTCGAAACAAGTTCACCCGCTAAACTCCCAGGCATCGATGTTTGCAAAAAAAAGGCTAGAATTTTTTTGTTGCTACAATTGCTTTCAATAAAAGGAATATATTAATTTTTTGTTACCCAGTAGAGTCTTCACCTGATCAAACAATTATTAATGATACATTTTAAAAGAGCGTTCTCATGAGAAACACGATAAAAAATCCTAATTCAAGTTTTTCCAAGACAATACATGGAACATCACACATATGTTTGATACTAATTTTCGTGTTTCACGCCAGTGTGCACATGATATACCACAACTGTTATCTTATAAAGTGTTTTATATTTCTACTTTTACTTGAGCAGACGGGGAGATTAAATTAAGCTTCATTAATAATAAACCGAACTCTAAGAACACAAGTCGCAAGTTCATTAAACATGGACCACATACACGAAAAAATAATTACAATGACGCAAAGCCATCGTAAATCCGCGTCATGGCTTAAACTAAACACGCCTATTACCCATACGAGGTCTGAATTTACGGTCTTCTCAGAATAAAAGAACATCATAAAATGAGGAGGATATGCTGATTGGAGAATGGTATGCTAACAGCCTTTTTTAACAATGCCATGGATGAACAGCTTCTTAATGGATGATTTAAAAGAAGTTTGCCCACCGTAAACCAAAATATGTTTTCCATGTGAAGAACCAGATAAGCGATTTGAAGAAATATTAAATTTGTGAGGGGCTAAAAATGACGATTTAGATCAAAATATCCAACATGATTATTGACCTGTATTATATTAAATTTTGCAAAATGATTAAAACGGCAGACGATTGTCAATTTGTTTCATTATGTAGTTTTGACCACTCAATATGAGCCAGCAAAGTTGAGCCTATATAAAATTATATAGGCTCAATATGAGCCTATATGAATATCGGAGTTTAAATACCGGAGTTTTATGGTTTACCGTAGTTATTGAGATGTACACCTTGACCTCTGCAGACCTCATCTTATAATGCTTTTTGGCTAATCCGTGTGTGACCAAACTGACAAGAATTGCGTCAAACTTCAAACCGAATTCAATGCATAAAAGTTCGTATAAATGAATCCATAATATTGTTAAGTTGAGCTTCATGTACGCTGACATATTTGACAAAACAAAATGCACATACCTTTGGCATTAAAGCAAGATATTTACTGCAGTACTATTTGAAGGTATCGGTGGGGATTTTTTAATTAGAACCATTAGATAGATGGCTTGTTTCAGCAGGCGTATTCGAATTAATCATGAAATCATTTACGGAAAGGAATTATGTATAAGTAAAGCTGCAGTTTCAGTTTAAAAAAAGGATCAAATTGATACGTTGTTATATAAAAATGTCATACCCGTATTTTTCTACATAGGATGCGATGCGATCTCAGTCCTTATATGAAGCGTGGGAAGAAAAATTCGCTAGCTTTAGTTATCAAATAATTTATACATATCCTACGTTTGGAACTAAATATCGCAGAATTTTTCTATTTACGATATCGCTTCAGCTTTCTTCACGAGATACGATGTGTAACCGGTACTAGGCGGGGAAACGGAAAAAAGTTCCATCATTTTGATCAAACAATTGAGATATTTTTCTCTAAAAATATCGCTTTATCTTCCGACCCTCGATACAGCTTCCTATAGGAGATACGATTCGATTCATTAGTGAAGCATGGGAAAAAGCACTAGTTTCAGAAATTAAATAATATATACGTTCGTAAAGTATAAATTGCCGCAGCTTCATACTCAAGATACGTTGTGTCACCGGCACCAAGTGAGGTGTGGGGAAAAAGCACCCGTTTCAGTAATTAAATAATATATACATTCGTAAAGTAGAAATTGCCGCAGATACAATGGGTCACCGGTACCAGGATAGGAGCTGCAGGATGGGACGGTACACAAGTCCTGCCGCCTGCTCGGGAAATATGAAGTCGAGATGGTTGAAGTCTTCTCTCGGGACACGGTAGTTCAGGATCACGTTCGGCAGCCGCTCTACGCACAGCGCTACGTCCTGCGCATCCATGATGCAATATTAGGACTAAATTAATATATCGAGTTTACACCTGTGTTTGTTAAGGAATACATGACTTAATATTAGCATTAAATTAATATATCGAGTTAATACCTGTGTTTCTTAAAAAAATATAACTCAGTACTCACTGCAGTGAGTGACAGAGAGCGCATTTTCTCGTCGACGAAAACGTGAAGTCACGGACAGACATACGGTCAGACAGACGGACAGACAGACAGACGGACTGACGAGCACCATAGGGCATTTTTTCAATAAATGAGAAAATTCACTAAAAATAATCGAGGCTTGACAAATGCACCCGAACAAACTAAAGAATGATAATTAAAATATTTCTAATATGATGTTCGAAATATCTTATTAGAAATATTAAGTTAGACAATTTTCTGAGGACATTATATATAGTATTTCATAACAAAATTAATAAAGAGTATCGACAGCAAACTAAACATCTTTTGTTCACAAGACAAATAAATATATTTGAAAAAATTAATAATTATTTTCATGAATATGTGATATATAAAATAAGTAATATAGCCGCAGAATTAGTAATTATTTTCTTTAATATATGATATTAGAGTTAAGTAATATAGCCGCAGAAATTTTTAATTATTTTCATGAATATCTTATATTAAAATCAAGTAATATAGCCGCAGATAATCACCTCTGGAGTGATGACCGTATCTCCAGGTCCCCAGATGACGGCCACGGGGGAGGTGACCGTACTTAGGTCGTACCGCGGGGGGTCCGGCTGCCCGTACCGCCTCATGTTCTCGGCCGGACCGAAGTTATACATGCGCATGCCGTCTGTGTGGTACACTCCATTTAATTTACTTATAAATGTTATAATTACATAACATTTAATTATAATTACGTTATTATCATATAATAACATAATTTATATTATTATATTATATTATATTAAGAACAATTATAATTGTTAATTAATTAATTATAAGAATTATAATTAATTATTTAATTATTTATAATTATAATTGATGTGTTAATTATAAGAACAATTATAATTATAATTGTTCTTATAATGAACTGTTGCATGAAAGATCCGGTCAAATAACACGATTTTAGATCTGTGAACAAGGCATTAAAAGGAAAAGAATCGGCGACAGGCCACATAAGGCCTACACATCAGTGCCGACATCACTATGTTATGTTATGTTATGTTATGTTATGTTATGTTATATTATGTTATGTTATGTTATGTTATGTTATGTTATGTTATGTTATGTTATGTTATGTTATGTTATGTTATGTTATGTTATATTATGTTATGTTATGTTATGTTATGTTATGTTATGTTATGAAGCTTAACTCAAAAGTTTGTCGTATTAGTTAATGACTAAATTTTATGGCTTTGGCATCGGTTGTATGGAAAAGAAAAGACGTATCTTGAATGTTATTTAGTAAAATACTTTAGCCAAGGTATTGATACATTTAATGAGTATTTTATGGATTTCAATGATGGAATTTTTATGAACATAGAGTGTAAATTTGAAAAATGTTGGAAGCAGCAGCTGCACAATTTGTTATTTCATGAAAGAATGATTAACCAAATCCTATATGATTTACGAAAAAAAATACTTGACTTAAAACTCAATAATTATCGGCTAATTATTAATTACTTAATCATTATTAACTGAGCGCATCATTTTTATTATTAAAGCATTGCATTAGTGCATACCAATAGATGCACTTATTAAGTAATCATTATCATCGGCCCGCACTACACGAGACTGGATGCCCATAGATAATTAAATAAACAATAATTATTATCGAAATTAATCATTATTAACGGAGCATATCTGACCCGAGCTGATGCCAATTGATGCATTAATTAATTAATTAATAATTATCATCGGAGCGCACTACACGTTTCTTTATGATCATAGATTATTAATAAGTAATAATTGTTATCGAAATTATTCATTATTAACTGAGCACATCTGACCTGAGTTGACGAACTGGCCGAAGTGCGCCAGGATGCGGGTAGAGGCCAGGGTGCTTGGGAAGTGCGACAGCAGCACGCTCGTGTAGTACTGATTTGTATACGCAAATTAAAGATTAAATTAAATATTCTTAAACATCTTGCTAGTATTATAAGGTAATTCGTGAATTTTATTTGGCTACGATAGTAGAGTAATTATAAAGATGTTTTTTGTTACAATTTAATCTGGAATTTAGTTGCTTCGAAACGAAAAAGTAACTAAATGCTAATTTTAAAAACTGCCAATCGTAATATGTTCTTAATTTGATTACTTTTGAATGATAAATAATTATTTCCAAAAAATGGTGAAGCTGATATAGATATAATTTCTCGGATCACTCACCTCCATCTCAGGCTTCTTGACTTTGCCCATGAAGGCGTCGACGAGGAAGAGACAAGGCACCCGCATGACGGAGGTGGTGCCGCAGAAGTGACGTGCCAAGCGAACGCGCACCGGTACTGGGATAGACAAGTCTGGCAAGTCCAGTCTATCCAGTATGAACTGTTGGACAGAAATGCCATTGTCGTTTTATGAACTGTTGGACAGAAATACCATTGTAGTTTTGAAGTATGAACTGTGGGACAGAATGCCATCGCTATAGTGAAGTATGAACTTTTCAGCCTATCCAGTATGAACTGTTGGACAGGAATAATATTATTGTACTGAAGTATGAACTGTTGGACAGAAAACCGTTGCTATCATGAAGTATAAACTTTTGGACATTGATATCATGAAGTATGAAGAGTTCAGTCCATCCAATATGAAGTGTAGGGTTAAATTACCATTGTCGTTGTTAAGCGTGAACTGTTGGACAGAATACCATTGCTATCGAGAAGTATGAACAGTCCGGTCTATCTAGAATAAACTGTTCGACAGCGACAGAAATGCTACTGTCGTTCTGAAGTATAAACTGTTGGACTGAAAACCATTGCTATATCGTGAAGTATGAACTGGTTGGTCTATCCATTATAAACTGTTGGATAGAAATTCCATTGTTACTGGGAAGTATGAACTGTTCAGTCTATCCAGTCTAGAATACTGGACAGAAATACCATTGCTTTCGTGAACTATGAACTGTTCGGTCAATCCAGTATAAACTGTGTGGACAGAAATACCATTTCTATCGTGAACTATGACCAAAGCAAAATTTAGAGACAATAAACTGGACTCTGAGAGTGCTGGTTCTGGGATCAGATCGTAGGTGGTCTATTCCATTGATGAATTAATTGGAAAATAATTCTGTCCTACTAAAAACAAATCAATTCATGTTTTCTCAATTAAAGCTAATATATTTCTATCCAATCGAATCGAAACTAATGAACTTTTGCCCCACAGAATTGAAACTATAAAATTTCTATTCTACTGAATTGAAACTAACGAATTTCCAATCAACTCACATAGTAATTTTTGACGGACAAAATGGTGTTCCGCAGCACCCCGAAAGAATTGTCCATGAAGGCAGCCGGGGCCATGGCAGCCATAACGCGCACCTGTAAGAAATAATAAACAATTATATGTTGATCGTAAGTGTAGCAAAGATCTTCGAAGTTACGGTGATCATAAATGTTACTGCAATCTTTGGCGAGAAACTGATCTCGAGGGAATATGTGATCGCAGGTTATCGTGGGTGTTATCGTGGGTGTTATCGTGGGTGTTATCGTGGGTGTTATCGTGGGTGTTATCGTGGGTGTTATCGTGGGTGTTATCGTGGGTGTAATCGTGGGTGTTATCGTGGGTGTTATCGTGGGTGTAATCGTAGGTGTTATCGTGGGTGTTACGCTCATGATGAATTTAGCGAAGAATTGTATGAATATCCTAGACACGGAGGATTCTCTAACCATTAAAAATCCCCAGCACGGAGAAATCGAACATCCGTAAGCCTCCTTGTTCAGTGCCGTTCGTAATACTTAATTTGCAACGGGAAACATCCCTTCAACACGAGTATTTATTATACGAGCGTAAAAAAGTCGTATTGGTAACGGTGTTAAATATTAAAATTGCTTGTGTTACAGAATTGCACCGAATAAACTGAACGCGTCAACGGCGATTACCTTCTGGAGTAAATAAAAATTTATTTTTATAACAAATACGATGAGTTGCTGGAAAACCAAAATAATCTCATGGAATACAATACCGTCTTGAAAAAACGCCTATTTATTTGAATGCAAATGCGATAAGTTGCTAGCAACACCAAATTAAGCATACGTGCTGAATAAAAATAAAGTATATTCCGTAAGCATTAAAGAATGGCGTTTTCTGTTATATCTTAAACTAAGCCTTCACTTGACCTATGGTTCAGTTTGTTAATAATCTTTGCTAAATAAAACTCCTGCTTTGGGCGACAGTCTCAACTTTGTATCTACTGTAGGCTTAATTGTAAAACGGAATGCATTGCTAGCTATTACACTCCCGAACAAACCCTATAATTTCTCTCGAAAACATACGATAAGTTGCTAGCTCCGCCAATCTAAGCACATGGGATGCAAAAACAAATGATTATTTACAAAGTCTAAATTATAAAGCGAACTCATTACAAGTAATTCCTTTAAAAAAATACTGACAACTCCTTCGCAGAGCAAGCAACCCTGAACAATGGCCCAGTGATTTCAGTTTCTGAGTACCAAGATTGGAGCAGAGAGGCGCTGGTTCGATCCCAGCTCTGTGCGCCAGTTTCTGGTCAGAATCGGCAAGGAGGCCGGGCGGTTAAGCTCAGCGGAATTGTAGAAGCGAGTTATTAGTTCGAGACCACAACAAGCTGTGAATGTTCTGTCATCTTATGAATCGTCGCCAGGCCTACGGCCTAATAAACGTTGAAATCACTATGCTATGCTATGCTACGCTATACTAAGCTATGCTATGCAATGCTATGCTACGTTACGCTATGCTATGCTACGTTACGCTATGCTATGCTATGACATGCTATGCTATGCTACGTTACGCTATGCTATGCTATGACATGCTATGCTATGCTACGTTACGCTATGCTATGCTATGACATGCTATGCTATGCTATGCTATGCTATGCTATGCTATGCTATGCTATGCTATGCTATGCTATGCTATGAGCCTATGCTATGCTATGCTATGCTATGCTATGCTATGCTATGCCATGCTATGCTATGCTATGCTATGCTATGCCATGCTATGCTATGCTATGCTATGTTATGCTAATAGGACCTTGTGGGCTAGGGTTGAGTCCAGGTTGGTGGCGCCGAAGAACATCGCACAGCCCAGTGAGTGTCCGACGTAGCGCAGCTGCCGCTCTCCTGACGTCGCTAGGATGTAGTTAACTACAGCTGGGATGTCGTACCGCATGATCTCATCCAGGCTGTGGTGGATGAGAGAATAGGTTGTTATATTGAAATGTGGTGAGCGTGGTGATGAATTGGATGAAAGGCTGTGGTGAATGGTGGTTCCAGTAAAATATGGTGAGCGTGGTGATGAATTGGATGAAAGGCTGTGGTGGGTGAGAATGTTGGTTGTTAAAATGAAATATGGCGAGCGTAGTGATGAATTGGATGAAAGGCTGTGGTGGATGAGGAAGTTGGTTGTTACATTGAAATATGGTGAGCGTGGTGATGAACTGTGAGGTGAGAGAGATTTGAATGAGTGACACATTTCACGCTGCGGTGCATGTTCCAAGTTCTCAACAATATAATAAATATACAATTGTGTTTTTGAGGGTAGATGCTTGTGACGATGCATGACGTCTGATACTAAAATATCAATTTTAGATTGATAATCAGTACAGCGAATCGATGCTATTCAGACTGGAATCCTTGAGAGGCATTAACTATAATTGATGTCAAAGCCAGCAAAGAATAATAAATGTTGAAAACAGTACGATTACATCTATATAGGGAGGTTGGGTGAGAGAAATAATAGGTTCATTAAGTGGGAACAGTTATCGCTCTATATAGGCAAGGTTACACATGAACAAGGATTTTGCACGTCGTAAAATAAATGTGTCACATATTCGAATTTCGCTTGAGTTATAAATATAATATAGCAATGCTGTTAATTTATTCTGTGTAGTTAAATATTGGTCAATATTTAGGCGTAAAATAAAGCATCATGAATCATGTTTCATTATCTTACTTGAAAATATTCCACGTATTCAGAAAAAAAATAATTCTTCCTACCTGAACCACAAGAACTGGGATTAATTAGCGTAAATATATTGATCATATTCAAAAGTAAGTGAAAAGCCCCCATGCAAAGTATTATTATACTCTCATCCAATAGTCTGAACCTTGAAAGCGTTCATAAATTCTGACGTGATCATCTACAACGACGAGCCATGAGACGTAGGAATACGCGTGACATTGACGTTAACGACTGACGTAACGGTGATGACGAAGCGGGGTCCTCACGTCTGTCTGCTTCTTCATCGTCACGTTGATGTGAGTTGCAGATACAGGCTAGCATTCCATGCTACTTGCCTTCATTGAAATGCAAGAGTGGCAGATGCAGGCTAGCATTCCATGCTACTTGCCTTCATTGAAATGCAAGAGTGGCAGATGTAGGCTAGCATTCCATGCTACTTGCCTACATCGAAGTGCAATCAGTAAAGAATGTAGCGAGATTAAATTTGAGATTCGCTGCCAGTATTGACCTTACTTCTTGATACGATAAAGGAATAGTTCAAGGATGGGAACAAGGACGAGTACATATATATGTTTAGGCTGCGATAAACGCTCGCTATCTTAATGCGGAAGAAATTAACTTTGACTCACATATGGAACACACTTTGTTTGAATGATACTACTATAATAAAGTTGCAATAAACCGGTAAAAATTGGTCCAAGTGTAGATAATTTCATGCAAAAGAAGGTTTAAGCGTCTAGTCGCTGTTTTCAATATTCACTATAATTCGCAGCAATAGAATTAGCCTACTAGACGTGGTTAATTTGAAATTCGCCACAGCATTCAGTGCTTAACCCTGGATGCCTGTAGTACCCGAAGAACCAAGTTATAAGGTTAGTTAAATTTGTTTGATTACTTGAATTATGGATTAAACCATTCCATTATTATTGATTTGTCTTGGTTCATAGATTGTCATTTCGTGTATACGTCATGAATTATTCCTTGCATAAAGGACTTACAATTTTTATGTATTATTTATAATTTCTGATGTATTTTCTTGTAAATTTCTTTATAGAAACCGTACGTAATAGAATATTCGTTCCTTATCCTGTCATGGTAGCGCGTCTTGGAAAAGCTTAGTAAACCTTCACAAAGGACTAGCTTACAAGATAGTCCTTTACAAAGTGAATGTATATTGGCTTTAGCTGCAAGTTTGAGTTTACGTGTTAGGCCGCAATTCTCTCAAGATGACAGTGCAAAAATTTCCATCACACGTGCGCTGTATGTCTTGTGAAATCATTTTGTAGAAGCGAGTTTTTGAAATCGAAAAATTATAAGAATTTAGTCAACCTTTTACCTATTATTTGAAATTGTTGTTCATAGATAATACGATAATTAAATTTAAATCTACACGATTGTTTTAAACTGACAACAAGAGGTTACTCTTGTAAGTGATAATGGAATGCAATTTTGTTATCGCTAGAATTTCGGTGCAGGATAGAAATGTCTAATCGATTTCTGCGCAAGTTTTTGCATTTGAATTTGTTTGCTTCACTTTAATGATTACTGAAGAAATTTCATTACTGTAATGGAAATTCATGCACTTAAACGTGGTGCTGTTTTAAATCAATTAATTTTAGATAATTTCGGTATACCATAATTTACCAAACCATTATTTCCCGTTATTATATAGCTCTACGTACTAGCTTGCGTCGCTCTCACCTTTCGGCCTATTGAAAAAAAAATTCTCCTGAAAAGGTCTCACAAAAGAAATGACATTGAAAGCTTCATTTAAATCCCTATAAAAGAGAGTATAAATATTTGGTATTTTAACCTATTTGTGTTCACCTGAAGTCCCAGAACTCGTTGCTGTCAGGGTCTAGTCTGACGTGACCTTTGCTGTAGGAGTTACCCCGCCAGTTGCCGAGCCACACGTCGTAGCCAGCGTCTGCCAGCAGATACGCTGCACATATAAACCACGCATAGATTAGTTAATTAGATACGCTGCACATATAAACCACGCATAGATTAGTTAATTAGATACGCTGCACATATAAACCACGCATAGATTAGTTAATTAGATACGCTGCACATATAAACCACGCATAGATTAGTTAATTAGATACGCTGCACATATAAACCACGCATAGATTAGTTAATNTATATTTGAGGTGAAGACTTGTGGTGTCAGAAGCACCTTCCAGCCTGATCTCTGAGTTGTACTAGATACCATGCGACATGTAAGTGATAATATCGGTATTCTGGAGGAGTAGGAACAGGTATCATGCGTCAAGTAAGTGAGAATATCGGTATTCTGGAGGAGTAGGAACAGGAATCATGCGACAAGTAAGTGAGAATATCGGTATTCTGGAGGAGTAGGAACAGGTATCATGCGACAAGTAAGTGAGAATGTAATTATTTTGAAAAAGTTGGATTAGGTATAATGCGACGCGTACGTAGGAAAATTTTTACTCTAAAAAAATTTGATTAATTATGTACCAAGTGAAAAGTAAATGAAGAATAACAGAATTGTACTTGTGAAAATCGCAACTATGAACTATTGTTTTAAATGTGATTAACAATTATCGAATTTAGTGTCACAAATTTGCTATTTTTGTTTTCTGAGCGATTTCTGAAAATGGGAATATTATTATGTCGAAACTTTGTTCTAGTTAAATAAAAAAATTAAATCAAAATTAAATTAAATTTCCAGCCTAAGCCTAAAACTGAAACTTATATTCATATTTCCAGCCGACCTATGGTAAAAATGTGAAAGCAATGATCGTGTTCTAAATCTTGTCAACAAATGCCAGTATTCATATTGAGGAAACATAAAATTAGCCATGATTTTCTTCAAATGTCATAATAATCCTAATGGATTCTTACTGCCCAAAAATTATAACCTTATTTTAAAACGATTTAAAACTGGTTCTATCTCTCTGTTATATCGATGATTTAATCACGGTTGAAAGAATAATCTAAACAGACGAACAAAAATAGGATTGCTAATACCATTGAATAATTTGAATTTATTATTTACCTATAGTTTACCTAGAGCTCCTCTATGAGCGTCACTCAGGACGAAGTTAGCCGATGAAGCAAAGAGCCCGTGGTGGATAAGGACCGGTGGCCGTCGTCGGGGCATGTTGTGATCCCATGGGTTGCGGATCATATCAAACCCGTAATTTCTCATAGCACTTCTACGCATTTTCTTTCTTTTGAGTTTTGCAGTCACGAACTGAGGGGAAGAATCCACATCGGGGCTCAGGAACACCGGGAAGAAATCGTTGTAGATTCTCGAACGCTTTAAGCGTTTCAAACCTGGAGGTTCGTTTGAGGGGTTAGATCCATTAACGTTGAGATTTGGTGATGGATCGTTAATGTCTGTGGAATCAAATAAATGTTGGATGGCTTCGATGATGTTTTCCAATGTATATTTGTTGGTGTTATCAGTAATAGGTGATCTTGGGGCTGTAGACTTGAGATTAGTAATCGAATCTTGCGGATTATTTGCCAATATTTGGCCAAATTCTTCCAGTATTTGACTTGGCCTAATTAGAGGCGTTAGAGGCGTGCCATCTTCTTCAGATATCTCTTCTGAAGCTCTGAGATATTCTTCTGAACGAGGCAAGTAGTCTTGCAAAACTTCATGGAAATTTTCTATTGGATTTTCTTCGACATCTCGTTTGAAGAATTTTTTCCTACGTTCCTCTGCGAAAGGGAAAATTGAAGTGTGATTATATGAATACATTTTTTTATATTAGCAATGCTTTGTGGATAGATAAAAGCTTTGAAAATACTTATTGCTGTAAAAGTTGATACATAGTTGATACATGGTTAGTTGCAGTTCTCTATTGCACTTGGAAAAACTACAAAAAGTCTTTCTTATGTCGCAATAAATGAATTTTATCTTTTTGAAATACAGTACTTCCATCTCTGAAGAAAACAACCGTGTTTCCAAGCATCAACTAAACAAGACACACGGATTAAAGGCACACAGAGTTGGTTCTTACAAAACAGCCTTGACCTGTAAAAGAGCTCAGATATGAACTGTAATGTTTAAACTGAGCATTGCTCACCGCTACCGATTGCTCGAACAAATATCATTTCTGTTTTATTGAAGATTGCAAAACAGACGCACTCACCCTTTCAGGGAATTTCTGCAGGTTTCTAGCATATATACATGAAGTGGCGAAATATGTACAAATAAAAAACATTTAAATACATGCAAGGAAAAAATTACAATAAAAGATCTTCCGATGTCGTGAGAGAAAAATGTCGTATTAACGGTGTGAAAAATTATAGAAATTTCAATTAACAATAAATTGATAGATAAATTTAAAGTTGTATATTATGAAAAAATAACTTCGAGTACAGCTATGTATGGCACACGCTACTCACTAAATAAAGCTACGACGTTTTGCTTACTTCTGTTCCTAGATCCGGGTATGTGAAACAGCTAATTAATACAAAACCTTAATTTATTAACTACTTACCCATAATTATGGTTATTTGGGGGATAATTCAGTGAATTTTCATTTTTAAAGTGCATTTTAAGTGCAGTTGAAGGTTACGTCTCAATCAAACATAATATTTAGGCCCGTTATTCATTGAATTTATTCAATGAACTTTATTAGGCACAACAATTAATGCATTTCAGGTAAAGTCTAGGGTAACTCACTATTGAGCCTAGGCTCCAGGATGTGATATAGTTCTTAAACGTACTATATTCCAACCAAAACAATTATTATTTTTTGAGGTACAATATATGCTAACTCACTTCTGTACCATAGGCCCCGGGATGCGATGCAGTTATTGAAGGTATTAATTACTTTTCAGGGTAAAATCTAGGGTAACTCACTTCTGAACCTTGACCTAGGGATGCGACGTAGTTATTGAATGTTTTTCGTAAACACAACAAATAATATTTTTCAGGGTAAAATATAGGGTAACTCACTCCGGAACCTTGCCCCAGGGATGCGATGTAGTTCCAGGATGTAGCCGTCCTCGGTGATGACGGTGTGAACCTCGCTGGGGTAGCCCTGCGACCTGATCAGCTCCGGCTGTTGGGAAAGGCCATCATCACTTACATCATCCATACATGAATGATGTCGTCACTATTTATATCATCCATACAAGAATGATGTCGTCATTACGACTTACGTCATGCACGCATGAATGATGCCATCATCATCACTTACATCATCCATACAAGAATGATGTCATCATCACTTACATCATTCATACAAGAATGATGTCATCATCACGACTTACATCATGCATATAAGAATATTTAGTCACTAAAATACTAATACTAAAAATACTAAACTACTAATACTAAATACTTTCATACTAAAGTATAAATCTTATTTAAATTATTCGATACGAAGTATCTTTGTTTTTAAATAGCAATAGCGATTTTGTGAGTAAATATGCTAGGAGTAGATAATAAATAATGGAGCGCATGGGTTATTGGCAATATAAGATAGTTTTACTAGTTAATAGGCAATATTGTTTGAACACGTAATAAAATTTGCATCGGCTGTACATATTATGCACATTAAACGCGTTGTAAAAGAATGCCCAAGCTGCGTTATAGGGCATTCACCAATGCAGGAATATATTTATTAAACTACGTATGTTTATTCAATAATTTATTAGAATGATAGAAACCAAAATAATCAGTGAAAAATGATTAAAATTTTTGGAATGGCAGGAAATATCAAAATGAATGACCAGGAAGATGATTGCTGTGACCAGTGACCTGGATTGAGGAGTTCGCTCACTCACTTATATTCTAATGTGGTGCAACTCAGGCTAGGAGAGTGAAAGCAATATATGTTCTTGATAGTAGAGCGATAAAGGATTTAACGTAGAGAGGTCAAGCTTGAATTCGCAGGCATACCTTTGCCATCTAGCATTCCACTTGAGGTCAGACATTTATTAGGCACTACAGGCACTCAATAACAGCTTGATAACAACAGACAATTCTTTTATTCTTTCATTGGCCAATAAGCTTGAGTGGATGAGAGAATTTCTGACAGTCGAATTCTATTATCCAAGCATCCGTCTTATCTTCTAACAGCTGGACCTGGTGGCATATTTAGGGAATCCCATCTTCTATAACCTTAGACGAAGATATTGAAAGCCCGGTCCCGAAGTCATTGAAGGCATAAGGCATAAAGATGGAATTATAAAAAGCCCATATCCAAAATTATTGAAAAACCAAAGACGAAGTTATTAAAAACCCAAAGACGAAGTTATTAAAAACCCAAAGACGAAGTTATTGAAAACTCAAAGACGAAGTTATCGAAAGCCTAGTCTCGAAATTATGTAAGGCCTTAAGACGAAATTATCGAAAGCCCAGTCCCGAAGTTTTTGAAAACCCAATGACGAAGTTATTAAAACCAAAAATTGAAGTTATTAAAGTAAAAACCTAAAGACAAAGTTATCGAAAGCCCAATACCGAAGTAATTGAAGGCACCAAGGTCTATTTTTACGGTCCATGTGCCTCAAATAACAATTAATGTTCATCTTGAAGCTACACATGCCTGTCGGTCCTACGAACGGTCAGTTATACCGTATCGTTTTGATTTCTGACCTCTCATTGTGTATATGTATAAAAATTTCCACAGAGCCCAATTCTGACCCAAACGTGCACACCCGTCTAAATACTAAATTTTGTCTTTTAATAGTGATTTCTTATCATTATCGCCTTTCTTCATATTCTGCTATTTCTATAACCTTTGTTTTCGAAGAAAAATTGTGTCCGTGTCCATTCCCAACCCTTGATCCAACTTTTTGTTCCAAATTCTTATTTCCCTCTCCTTACAATTATTATCTTTACTCTTCCATGTACTTTCTTAATCTCTCTTCTTAGTACTATCGTAATCTCTCATCCCTGTACCATCGCAATCTCTCTTCCTTGTACTATAGTAATCTCTCTTCCTTGTACTATCGTAATCTCTCACCTTGCACTATCGTAATCTCTCTTCCTTGCACTATCGAATCTCTCTTCCTTGTACTATCGTAATCTCTCTTCCTTGCACTATCGAATCTCTCTTCCTTGTACTATCCTAATCTCTCTTCCTTGTAATATCGTAATATCGCTCTTTTCAAACTTATGTCCTCTCAAACTTGTGTCACACTCTCACTTTTACTCATGGCATCCCCGCTGTCTCTAATACCTGTTCTCTTACACTCTCCCTTTCACTGGGAACTTCTGCAGATTTTCAAAACCGCAACGTAGGTTCCTATAAAAAATTTAATTAATTCCATAGAATTATTGGCTCTTGTTTTGACTGCAGTTTACTTGACTATGAAATGGAAGCAAGATATTATTGGGGGCATATATAATGGTTTAATTTTGGTACGCGTGTTTATGTAAATTTCTTTTATTTACTAATACCAAAGCATAAAAATCACTGAAAGTGACTTAGTGTAACACCTTGTGATAGTATAGAAGATAAATATAACGAAATAAGGACGTAGCACTTGTCTATAATGAGGTATTATAAGGCATTGAATTTAATCAGCGCCACATTCATGATGAGATCAGTTATAACATTTTAAGCCGGGTTCAGTTACACATATCATTTCTTTCCTATTTAAAATTACTGTAACTGTTATCTTGCACCGCCCATTTCCTCCTTATTTACAATTCGTCCACGGTTCTTTTACGCTGCTATTTCTTGCCAAATTAAAATTACGACTAATGTTTCTCACATGGCCCATTTCCTCTCTATTTAAAATTACTGTCACGCTTAAATTTGGCCCATTTCTTGCCCAATTAAAACCTCGACTAAGGTCTCTCACATGGCCCATTTCGTCCCATTTAAAATTACTGAAAAGGTTCTCTTGCAAGGTTCATTTCCTCCCTATTTAGAATTACGGCCAAGCCAAGGGCGGCCGACCGTCGGCCAGCTATAGGCCCATGTAGCTATAATTTTTCAAAGCTGCCTAACAGCAATTGGCTTTCAGGGCACGAACTGACAAGGATTGCGTAGTCTTGTACGCTACGCGGTGGCAGGCGGGAAATGGTTATCTATCAGTGGTGGCTTACGCTGAGCTTTAGATTTTGCTTTATAATTATTTAATATTTTTGTGAGCGGCCTGATACTAAGAATAAACTAAATAATAAAGATATAGTTATTGAAGGCGGATTTTAAAGTTTATAAACATTTTCTGTACAGCGGGAGATTTAGGTGGTTAAAATGTAATTTTCACCAACTTTTTGGAGGCATATGTCATTGTAGAACGATTCCAATCGCAAGGTTAGGCTTGCATTGCTTCATGATCTTTTGGTAGGCCAAGAAACAAAAAAAAAAACTACTCGAGTACACTATTCATTTCCTGGTTGAGAAAAACGCATGTTTTTTTCGCTGCAGAAACCTGATTATAGAGCCCTAGTTCCACGGTTGTTGAGAGACAGGTAGTCATTTAAATATAAGGTCCCAACCGTCTAAAGCTTGTGGTTTTTTCCAAGCCAGAACTGGATTGACGGTTCATAATTGTACGGTTTTGGAGGCAGGGGCAACTTGAGTGCATGAGCAACGAAAGGGAAAATAGGAAAAAAACATAGCCAGTTGTGAAGCCCAAACATCGGCCTGTGCGCAAGAAGATGCGTAGGTTTTTGTAGGTCGTTTTGAAGTCATTTTTTCTTGTTTTCTTTGACCCTTCATTAAGGATACTTTCTATTGCTCTTAATTGCTGGGAGTGACAAGTACTGTAGCTGTTAGAAAGTCTACAGACCAAAAATGAATGAGGATTTTTAAATTCTTTTGTAGTGTGATGAAAATGCTACGAAAGTGGTGAAGTGGAAATAATAGATCTATAATGAGTTGAAATAGAACATAAATGGAAGGAATATAAATGGAGAGGATAGCACTAGAATGAATATAAATAACATGAATTGAACAAAAATGAATATAAATTGCATTAAAATTAATAATTATAGCTTAGAAATGTTTTTCGTAGTTTATTTTAAATATATATTCTCTGGTATATATAATATCTTTAGAAGGTATCGTCAGACAACATGTGTTCACAATCGGACTCGGGCCATTGTTACCTTTAGCTGATTAACCATTAGCCAGTTAATGGTGAAGATTATTTATCGCTCACCATTTGTTGAGCTGCGTATATTATTTGAAAATACTCTTAATTCCACGCACATGTGATGGTATTAGGAAGAACATATCCTACAATAGAAATAATATTGAAATACTAATTATTAAAGTAGATTATTATTCAAACGCTTACGAATACGAATAAAAAATTATGTAGTTTAATAAAACATAAATCTACTAACTCACCACTTTGAGAATCTGCCGTTCCTGTTCTCGAAAGAGGGAGAAAAGGAACCTTTTTCTTCTCCTCAAAATCCTCTCATCGTCACGACGAAATTTTTCTTCTTTATTTTCTTGCTTCTCTTCTGTGTGTGAAGTCACTTCATTAATTCCTTCTCTTGAATTTCGTGAATTATTTTCTGGAGCTTCTGAATGAATGTGCAAGTTGTTAATTTTATAATTATTTTGCTCTCTCAGAAAATTTGTTTCGTTTGCATTGGAATTAACTTCGACGGTGTTTCTCAAAGTAGCCTCGTATTCAGATAAATATCTTGGGTTAGTCTTCCAGTTATTTGTTTCGAAAATTTCGGAATTCATTTCTTCTTTCTGTACATCGTCGATAGTGCTCACAAGATATTTTGTATCAGCAGGCACGGAAACGGTAGCATTTGCGTGCCAACTATTTTGGTTAGGTTCTGGATCACTTCTATTTTTATGGATGGCAAAAGCTGTGGCTTCTTGTATCGGATCTTTTCTGTGTACCTCTGATTCATAGTTTTTATGGTTTATGTAGGTCGCATTACCTTCTTTCCGTATAATACCTTCAATTTTAATTGAATTGACGTCATGCATATTTTTGTAAATATCATCGTCTTTGTCTCTTGAAAAATTAATATTTGGATTATTAACGTCGTTTGATGTTGTGCCATCAAAGCTCGTTGTGACTTTTAACCGAGAAGTATCATCGTCAGTTTCACGTCGCTTGCGTTTTTCGTCGTGTTTTAGAAGTATAAAGTCCGAGAATAATTCATCGAGGTCACAATTCCTCATGTCCTCAACCACCAAAGGGATGAGGTCGCTCAGCTGCTGCTGGTTCAAGGGAAACCTGTTGCCGTAAACTGATTCCAAATCCGTAACGCCCTGCACTTCTCTTCTGACCCGGCCACTCGGTTTTGACGTGGGAGTGGAACCTTCACCCTCTTTTACACTTTGCTGATTTGTTTTTATATTTTCAGTTGTAGTTTCTTTTGGTGTGACGTCAGGCAAAGATTTATTTTGAATATCTGCAGTATATTTTGCAATATTCACTAGAGAATTCCCACTTCCCGTGTCTCCGGTGAGAATCGATTCAGGAATTTCTGGAGGAATTTTATTAGAATTAATTTCGCCGAATTTTTCTAAATTTTCGCTACTCGAAATTTCTCCGTCGTTTCTTCGAGTTTTTTCTCTTCGATTATCAAATCTATCTTCTACACCTGCTAAACTTTTCGGAATATTCACATTGTTTTCTGAAATCAAACTTTGGAAAGCCAAGTTTCCATTATTTACTTCGCGGATATTTGTGTTATTTTCTGTAGAAAATATCTTCAGGATTTCCGTAAAGACGACATTTTCCAGCACCTCTGCCCCCAAGCTGAGGCCTGAACCACCAGATAATTCTTCATCGCTCGGAAATTCTTTCCCTGAGGCGGTTATCAGATCAGGCAAAAAAATACTTTCATTGTTCACGAAATGCAAGTTATCCTCTGGATTAACTACAGAATCTTGAATCGTATTTATCCACGACTGTTCGTCGCCATTTGTGAAGTCATCATCGCGAATTAAATTACGCACGGCCATTTTTTGGTCATAGGAGGGGAAAGTAATATTTCTTGCCATGACTCCAACCGTGAAGCAAATAAAAAATTTGAGAAGAAGCATCGTATTCATGGCCTCCACTTAAAAGTGGATTTAAAAGGGAGAGCGCAGTTCGTCGGATAGAGATTCTCATAGCGAAGAAGTCACTGATGAAATTTGGGTCGTTTCTTCTATTCAGTAACTTGCACTTCGCAACTTAGAGCACATACACTGTTATCACATACCATCTTCTGAAAAAAAAGAAAGGTTATAATAGCACCTATGCGGTTTCATCATTTGCATGATATGTTACTGACACAACATGGGTGAAATAACATTGAAAAGCCGTGAAAATTGTTGTGTTGTTATGTTTTTTTCCTTGATAATGAAAAGCTTCTAACAGAGGCACCACCATTAATATTATATTAGTATAATATTAATATAAGCCTTATTAATTAATATAAGCTTCATCATTTTAACTACAAAGAATGATCTTGTATAGGCAACCATTGAGCTCGGTTACACTATCGCTTTAAACTATAACATCCATGTTGTCATAGTCGCCAGAAGAAACGAACTACGCAACTGCATTGTCATACGCAATATGCGTGTAATGAATCAAGAAGAAATAAAGAAACTATCACCACTCAATGTAATTGCAACATCATCCAGTACAAACGAAATATCTCTTATAAAATCTAAAGTTAGATCAAACTATCATGCTCGGTTTGAAATCATGCACATTTTCACTAGAAATCAAAGTACTAATTAAATAAAATACTTAAAAAAAACTTTTTAAAAAAACCACGTTTTTCTTGTGGACTAAAAAGTAGAAAATAAATTATGGCTCGCCCCAAAAAACGTGTGTCGGGCAGATTTATGATTAAAGCGAAAAGCACACAAATAATTTATTTTCTACTTTTTAGTCCACAAGAAAAACGTGGTTTTTTAAAAAGTTTTTTTTAAGTATTTTATTTTCTCCTTTTTACTCCGTTGCTACACATGAAAAACGTTGTTGCGAGCCAATTTACTTGCCTTGACGTACGTATCGATGATACGCAGCGTAAGCGCCTGCTCGTCTATAACGTCAGCGCCCGCACGTCATACTATATATATACTATTTATATATACTTTACTCAATTAAGCTAATTTAGGTCTCTAATTGCTAGTTTTTATGATTGTATCTGAAATTGTTAGGCAAAAATAGCCTGTATGCCGAATTTCAGATCTCTAGAGCAATCAGAAGTGGGCTAATTTTCGTTGTCAATGTTAACAACAAACAAACAAACAAACAAACAAACAAACAAACAAACAAACAAACAAACAAACAAACAAACAAACAAACGCGAAGCTAAGCTGAGAAAAACGTTTTAAAAAATACGTTTTGTCAAACCCATAATCTCTCGGCTGGAGCAATTTCTTAACGGCTATGAATGACGACGATTGAACTAACTAATTCATTATCGAAAAAATTTATCAATATTTGAATGAAGTTATGAAGTGTAACTACATCGCGTGCACACTCAGAAAAAAATATAACTCAGTACTCACTGCAGTGAGTGACAGAGAGCGCATTTGCTAGTCGACGAAAACTTGAGGTCACGGACGGACGGACGGACGGACAGACGGACATGGCGAGCACAATAGTGCATTTTTTCTATAAATGAGAAAATGCGCTAAAAAGAGTTATATTATCCTAATGGTGACCAACCATTTTACTTACAGCACGACCATTGAGCGGACGTAGCAGTGATACGCATTTTTGCCGGGCCCAACTTGGTCAGAATGACTCATACAAGCAGTAAAAGTGCATCGATATATGGACAAAGTCTTACTCCTTTCCCTGAGTGTATCAGAGCGTGACCCTTGACCCAGACAGCAATTGTAGGAAACTGCCATGACACAAGACTAGTTGAGGTACGAACTGTGCAGTGATAAACTGCACTTATTATTGCAAAATGTAATAAGGTGAAAGATAACTTAATTTACCGTATCATTTTTTGAAAGTAAATTCGTAGTTAAATTATTTAAAGTTTGAAATTAATTTTTTTATAACATGGTAGAAGTAATTAACAATAATATTAAATAATAATCATAATAATAAATGTTTAACATTAGCTAATTCGGGTGATAAGTTAAATGAAAGGTTACTTTGAGCGGAATAACATAACACCGAAAAACGGAAATTGGCACTTGCAACTTAAATCAGCGCTAGTACTGATAAAAATAATATTAGCTACACGCACTTACAAATGACAGCATATTTTTACCACAATATGATTGAACAAAAAATAATAATGTACTTACATGTGCTAGTCAACCCACAAATAAAAAAATAGATCCAAGCCTCTCTAAGTGGATTGTTTTTTGTACATATTGAACATGGTTGACCAGGAAAATGGTGTTGCCCTTTGTAAGAATCTGTAGAACTTCGAAAATTTGATTTAATACAAAAAAATTTAGTGAATGGTATAAAAAATACTTTGCACCATAATTACATGGAAATAATCGCTTCGCGAATCAATTTTGTTGAGAAAATTTAATGAATATATGAACTTTTCTCACGCTTCAATTAACAAAAAAGAAGAAAAACTTTTTCGCAGGCTAATTCTATACAAAACAGAAGCGTGATTTCCATGTAATAATAAAACCTTCACTATCTCCGTCGGTGAATTCGTAACGAAACAAAAGATTTGAAATTAAAAAAACAATCAAACCATATCGTGAAACACTGACAGACCATCTACCGCCAGCACTAGCGTCACTAGAACATGACATATCAACTACCATCATCACCAGCATCACAAGAACATGGCACATCAACTACCATCATCACCAGCATCACAGTAACATAACACATCAACTACCATCATCACCATCATCACAAGAACATGGCACATCAACTACCATCATCACCAGCATCACCAGAACATGACACATCAACAACCATCATCACAAGAACATGACACATCAACTACCGTCATCACCAGCATCACAACAACATTGCAGAACATAATTACGCTGCTGTTCGCACTTGGTAGCCACCAATTAAATGGCTGTTGCGTAAACACTTGCTGAAGTTGCTTGGCTTGCGTAAGCCGCCGACGCAGCCACGGATTTCGTAACGAAGGGCGTGAGCAACGACAACGTGCGGACGTGAGGTCACAATTACGTTATTTACAACGAATTTAAACTGTAACGAATGCCGCAAGTTATTTTGAACGAATTCAAATAATAAGGAATTGCACGTTGCTAATAACTAATTAATTTAAGTGATAACGAATGCCACAGGTAGAACGAATTTGAATGATAGCGAATACCGCACGTTATTTAGAACTAATTTAAACAGCAACGAATGCCCCACGTTATTTTGAATGAATTTAAATAATAAAGAATGCTACACGTTGTTAAGAATAAATTAATTCAAGTGAAAACGAAGGCCACATGTTATTTAGAACGAATTTAAATGATAACGAATGCACCACTTTATTTAGAAGAAAATTGAATGACGAATGCCACACGTTATTTAAAACGAATTTATATAATAGCAAATTATTTAGAAGGAAGTTAAATCGGCATTCATCAATCTTTGGGCAAACAATTAATCTTCAAATATCACACAGTCAAATAAGAAACCTTGTTGCCCAAACATCATAATTTAAATAACGAGTAACACATTTAAAAAAAATTGTTTATTACTAGCAACAATTTTTAAAATATTAGCTAAATGATAGATAAATTCGGATAAAGGATAGAACGTTTTTAGGTATCGACGGATTTATGACATCTATAATATTTAAATTGCATATTCAATGTCAGATTATAGTTATATATAAATTATACGTCTTAAATTGCCTACACACTCAAAGTTTCCAGTTCGATAAAAAACATGGATTAGATTGCCTCACTACGGATTTCAAGAAAAATAAAGCATAGAAAACTCCACGTAAATTCGCCATATCCTCATGAAAACGTGGAAGATGGTGAGTATGCCTGGCGTTATCTTGACTTTTAAATTACGGGTGAACCTTCGATTTAAGCAGACCATTGGTTTATTTACTCCAAAATCCAGTTTTTTAAAATATCGATTAGATTGCCTAAAAACTCCCAAATATTAACTCAAATCATTGCTGTAATTAACTTTTTTTGGCTTTGCTGAAACAACTATCGAAAAATGATATAGTTGCACGCGTAATTTATAACAATTTTCACGTAATAACGCTTGGATGATGCGATATAAAAATAATGACGATGAAGCTTTTTGTTATTGGATGTGAAGTTGGAAATATAAAAAGAATTTGGATATTGACCACTGAAAATGCACGGAAAAAAGAAAAACCGAAGAGAAGACAGAAAAATATGTATATATATAGTACGTTATCCAAATTAAGAACTAAATATAAGGACACATCCGTTTCTTCAACATATCAAAGCCCCGAAGTTGACGCCAGTGAGTTGCTATAAAAATAATAAAATAACTCGGGTTCGCATATCACATCGCGTTTTCACCTAACACTTCCGCATTTTACCAATTAACTCAACTAAAACTGAATGGTCCATAGAAGTAGTTTTTTGTTCAAAAACATTACTAAACGTGCGAGAATTTTAGTAGTGATGCGTCGGAACTGAACACACAACATAATTCATCTATCAAAAGAAACTAAATTCTTTTCAGAGAACAGCCTAGAACCACAATCACCATAGAACTCCAAATGTTCTCTAAATAAAACCCTGCATCCACAATCGCTATAGAATACCGAATGTTTTTCGGAGAACAACCTAGAGCCACAATCACTATAGAACACCGAATGTTCGTCAAATAAAACCCTGCATCCACAATCACTATAGAACACCGAATGTTTTTCGGAGGAAAACCTAGAGCCACAATCACTATGGAAGATCGAATGTTCTTCAAATAAACTCTGCATCCACAATCACTATAGAATATAGAACACCAAATGTTCTTCAAATAAAACCCTGCATCCAGAATCACCGTAGAACACCGAATGTTTTCCGGACAACAACCTGGGCCATAATTGCCACAAACATTGCGTTTAAACGAAGCTCTAAGCTCAAGTTCACAATAAATATTGCCCGGTTCACACAACTGAGGCCAACACCACGGGACCTTTCCAATGCTCAGGCCGCGGCAGGCAAGAGAGTGAGAGGAAGGCTGTCTTGTCGCAACGACGTCTGCGTGTGAACTCTGCAGCAGTCCGACCTCCAAACCCACCTGACCGCTCTAATACATTC